TATTATATCCAACAATGAACTATTTAGGCCAAGATGAGAAAAGGCCAGGGAGCAGATTCAACTGAGCTTTGCCTGGCATTGAATTCACCACATCCCTATGCACTCCAATAGTCTATTTGCTGGTACATTTCTATCTGGCTAGACATGAATAGGAGTGGATTTTATAAACACTATAACTTAATCAACAACCTATACATAAAAATTTGAAATATATAAAAGTGGTTACAGTGGAAACCTTATCCTTAGATCTAAACCCCAGAAACCTAGCCTGGCAGAACATAAATATTAGCAGATAACGTTTCATGAATACTTATTTTCCAGGCACTCTGCTAAACAATTTTCATATATTAATCAGTTACTTTTTCACAATGACCAGATGGGATACAAACTATTATGATTTTCATTTTACACTTCAGAAAACTGAAAAACAGAATAGTCGTAGCTATGGGTTCCGCACATCAGACTTTTAAGAAAGCTATTCTAGAACATTGTACGTAACTCACTGCTGGCTGGCTCTGAATTCCTTACCTAATGTTCTTTAGTTATTTGACCTAAATTCTGCATAGTGGGTTAAGTTAGACAAGCCATATGTGACCCAGGAGTGGAAACTAGGTTCTGAAAATGCATTTAGGTTGGTGATAAAATTAGGGCTTAATTATCAAGATGTAGAAATTCCAAGGCAGTCTATGTCCTTCCCACAGGCCTGGGTCATCCATAATTGGCCAGGGTGGGGAACCTCCTTTTTCCTTTGGGAATGATCCTCGGACATCCAAAACTGGATTAGGTTCAGTTGGAGGACAGCTCTGGTGGAGAGGCTGGTCTCAGTAAAACAGTGTACATAAGAACCCCTTTACCTCTACTTTGACAAAAGGAACTGATAATGATCACCAACTTCTTTACATTTCTAAAGAAATTACAAATAAAAGAAAGTGATGTGAAATACCTAAGCTTAAACAGGGCAGTACATTATACAATAAGCATCAGGTAAAATAAGAAGAACCATAAGAATAAATATAGATATGCTATAATTTACTGAAAGAATGTACTAAAAAGATGCTGGGATGAAAACTCATAACTTCAATGTGAGCCTCCCACCTCACCAAAAGCCAAAGAGTCAGTGGCCTATCTTCTCTTCTAGGCTTAGTAGCAGCAGCTCCCTGTGGACCAATACCTCTAAGATCTCTGTAGACTGAAGCCTTCTCAGCCATCATACCTACATACAGTCACGTGCCACATAATGACATTTTGATAAACAAAGGACTGCACATACAATGGTGGTCCCTTAGATTATAATATATTTGTACAGTACTTATTCTATGTATGTGTGTGTGTGTGTGTGTGTGTGTGTGTGTGTGTGTGTGTGTATAATCATTTTATTTGTTTTGAGACAGAGTCTCACTCTGTTCCCCCGGCTGGAGTGAGGTGGTGTGATCGCAGCTCATTCCAACCTCTGCCTCCAAGATTCAAGCGATTCTCCTGCCTCAGCCTCCTAAGTAGCTGAGATTACAGGCACCTACCACCACAACCAGGGTGGGGGGTGGTGGTTCACCATGTTGGCCAGGCTGGTCTTGAACTCCTGACCTCAGGTAATCTGCCCACCTCAGGCTCCCAAAGTGCTGAGATTATAGGCATGAGCCTCCGCACCTGGCCTATGTTTAACTATATTTAGATACATAAATACCATTGTTACAACTGCCTACAGGATTCAGTCTTGTAACATGCTGTGAAGGTTTGTAGCCTGACTTTAGTAAGCTATGCCACCAAGATTTGTGTCAGTATACTATGATGGTTGCACGATAACAAATTACCTAATAATGCATTTCTCAGAACACATTTCTGTCATTAAGTGATGTGTGACTGTACTTTTTAAAAAATACTTTCATGGTACTTATTAATAATACTATGTGCTAGATCCTATACTAAACACTTTACAAATACATATTTAATCATCAAGCAAGACAACATTCTGAGGTAGGTACTATTATTATGTCCATTTTGCAGATGTAGAATCTGAGAAGTAATTTGTCCAAGGTCACAAAACTAGTAAATGAGAATTGAACTCAGGTAGACTAGCTCTAGAATCTATATTCCTATCCAGTATGCTGTGTAAAGAGGATTCAGGGGTGGAGGGGCTGTAGAAAAACTGTGATTAGTGAAGTTTATTTTGGTTTTCAACATACTTCTGATGTGTCACCAGAGACTGCAAAATTTTCCAAACAAAAAACAAAGTCTTGATGGTCTCTAGTTTAAAAATGATGAAACTAAACACTTCATAAAATAAACATCATAGTTGTAGAGTTCTAAATTACTTAGTAGTCTTTGTTAAAGAAAAAGTATGTATGTTACTGGGTATATATTCAAAAGAAAACGAATCATTCTATCAAAAGATGCGTGCACTCACAGCACTATTCACAACAGCAGCAACATGGAAGCAGCAGAGGATTAGATAAAGAAAATGTGGCACATATATACCATGAAATACTATGCATCCATAAAAAAGAACAAAACCATGTTGAGCTATAGTAGGCCATTTTCCTAGGCCAGTTAACACAAACAGAAAATCAAAAACCACATGTTCTTCCTTATAAGGATGAGCTAAACATGGGGTACTCGTGGACATAAAGATGACAATGGACAATGGGGGCTGATGGAAGAGGGGATAAGGGTTGAAAAAGTAAATATTGGGCCAAACCTCAGCATCACACAATATACGCATGTAATAAACCTGCACATGTTCCCCCAAATCTAAAAGTTGAAAAAAGAAAACATATGTATACACACATACCAACATACATAAGCATATATGTCTGTATAATTTATAATTATATATAAATAATGAAATAAGAACTCTGAATAATTTCATCAACTGCAAAATTCACTCATGAGCAGAGAAACACAAACAAAACCTAAGATCCCATAATTTTGTTGACATCTCTTTCCTTTTTGAACTAAGCCATAGTTTGCAAGGCTCCCGTAAGTACACTGATAGTGGTGAAAAAATTTTCTATGTCTATAAAGCCCTGTGACCATGTTAAGCCTTTCTTGAACAGTGTAGGCTGGCAGGGTGGAATGACATTAAAAGTCTAAAGGTATGCTAGTAGGGAAATATGAAATTTAAAATATGAACTAATTCACAATGTGAACAACCATTTATTCAACGTTTTTTCTTTCTATTTTACATTCGTTATGTGTTATACTCAGCAGCTGGCAGCTCCTTTTAACTATTTGGAGACATACATATTCAAACTAATGTTAGCTGGAAAACTGTGTTCTTTCCAGACAAGGTGGCAAAGTTGTCTTTGATTTCACTGGAGCCTCAGTTTGAATAATTAAGATCAGAAATATCCAGGCAGCCAATAGGTCTGATGGAAGTTTTTGGATATTTAAAGATAGGCTGTTTAACCACTGAGGTATAGCTAGGAAAAAGGTGTCAGTTAGACAAACACATGAGCCTATCCATTGTTTGTTTATCAAGGGCCTTCTTCGCAGACATAATAGTGCCCCAGAGAGACAGATCCTGGCTTCATGGAACTTAAGGCCTAGCAGAAACAAGGGACAAAAAAATGATCAAGGTTCTGAGTTCATAATTACAACTGAGACAAATGATCTCAAGAAGTCCTTTGAGAGTGCATCAGTAAAGAAGCTGGCCTAGATTTGAGGCTGTGAGTGAAGGCAGCCTGGGATGGGTACTAAGAAGAAACGGAGGAGCATTCCATATATAGGAAAACAAAAGTAAAGCAAAGGGGCATGCAGCAAAGTTCTGTGATTGAATGAGTACAGTTTATTTGCTAGCTAGAGGATAGCCCAAATGGATGGAGCCCTGGGAAGGCAAAGCAGGGGACTGGGAGTCAGGGAGGTGGGAAATGGTGGACAATTAGTCTAAAAAAGCAGGCAAGCACAAACCATGAGGGCCCTTGTGAACTCCCTTAAGAATTGGGCTTTTATCATCAGATCAAAGAGAAGGCATAGTTGTGGAATACCATAGTTGAATATGTTGTCAAGGAACTAGGATTTCCGTGGACAGAAAGGCAATGGTTGCTGGTTGTTCCATTTAAATAGCCTTTAAAAGTCATGCAAAACACAAATGTGCCTGAACACATTGGGAGTGGGGGCGGTGGGGGGTCTGGATCATGGTAGGGCATGTTGTAGACAACTAGACCAAGGCAAGTTGTCTGTAGCTTTACTCTTAAGGATCATACACCTCCCTACATCCTTCTACCATCACTTTTTCATATTTACAGCCTAAGCAATGATCTGACACATTGGACAGCAAGCAATTAGTTGATCTACTGATTTCTGGAGGAAACGAAAGGAGACAAGGACAGAAATAGGGGCACCATCCAAACTACAAATCACCCAACTCCAGAATAAAATTTTGCATCCCATCAGTAATTTGACAATATAAAGAGTGGACAAGACAACATCACTAGATTACTAGATTTGTTCACTTGTCATTTGTGTTTTCTAAGACAGAATTAGGTAAGACAGTCTGAGCTTTTGGAGAAACTCAACTCATTACTCAGCAGGTACGGTAAAGGAATACTTTTCTAAAGAACAATACAAAAAAGACATAAGATAAAGACTTCTCAAAAGACCCCAGAATCTCGATGTAGGAAGAAATCATGGAGTGTGAACCCTCTTTTATATGTATGAAGGATAAAAGCTAACTACACCTTAATCAAGATTACAGATTTCTATGGTCTTCATATTTAGCTGCCACTCTGACTAAAAGTCCTTCAAATATGATTAAAGGTCTACTCTGAAATTTAATATAGACTCCTCCACAGCAAGCATGTGCATGGATTCACCCAGTGGCATTTAATCAATTAATATATGCATATACGCTTTAATAACTGTGCAGAGTCATTGTGTCTTCATCAAAATGCCCTGAAGATTGCTTTATCTCCTAGCCGTAGTCGTTCTTGACGTCATTTTAAGTGTTCAGACTCCCTCTGCGGTCATTTTATTTGTAATAGTGCCTTGTGTGTTGTGTCTCCTAGCTCTACATACAAACTACCACACTTACAATCTCCATGAACCTAAGTGCATCAGTGGCGCTGGGGATGCTATATATGCCGAAAGTGTACATCATCATTTTTCACCCTGAACTCAATGTCCAGAAACGGAAGCGAAGCTTCAAGGCGGTAGTCACAGCAGCCACCATGTCATCGAGGCTGTCACACAAACCCAGTGACAGACCCAACGGTGAGGCAAAGACAGAGCTCTGTGAAAACGTAGACCCAAACAGTAAGTAACTCTCCTTTTCTTTCATCTTCCCATCCTGCATCAGGAAGCTCTAGAAGATGTGGGGTGTGTTTGCCTCTCTGGAGAAATACTGTGACCCTTCTTGTCTTATGGAGTGGTTTGCCTTGGTGAACGCTAACTTTTGCTCTTTTGAGTTTGACTCATTCCTTTTCTTTTTGTTCCTTGTTGGAAAGAAGCTTTTGGAGGCTCTGCTTCAGAAGTGTGAAGCCTCCCCCTTCCCTTGCTGCTTGTCCTCTGGTACTGAATCCTCCAACTGACATAAATGTACCTATCAGATTGCTCGTTCTTGCACCCTTCCTCTAAGGAAACAACTTTCTGTTAGGGAAACTTCCATACTTAATGAACTGTATCCACAGAAATAAAATTAGAATAAATAAGAATTTTGGAAGCATATTTTTTCCCCTAGCACATGCATGTTGAGAAAGCTACTTTTTTTACTAAGTTGGTCTTCTAGAAACAAACATATAAAACATTGGAAAAATTTGTCAAACTTTAATCCAGTTACACAGGGCCAGACAACTACCATGATAATGGCATCGTCCTGTGGGAGAAACATCTACCACATCACTGGAGGAGAGCTGTATTCTGTGCAAGACAAACCTTAGGGAAGTAAGGAAAAAACATTGAATTTAAGATGCTATTATTTGGCACATCTGCCAAACCCTAGCAGCCTTTAGTCATGCCTGCAGATGTGCCCAGGTAAATGGATGCATAGCTATCACTTTGTAAATAACACAAGACCAGACAAGCTCAAAGGTTAAATGCTTAGGATTCCCAGTTGCTAACTTTACTAACAATATGGTGATAAGAATAAATTTTTGATTTAAAATACTAGTTCTAAGATTTGTTTTCCAGGAATATTTTGGCTAGTTGCATGTAGAATGATATAGATTGAAATATTTGTGATAATTCTTGTTTTTAAGGCAGAAGGGATTTCAGGTTATTCATTAAGTCATTCATGACATATTACATTTCAGTTATAAGTTAATCTTGTTGTCAAAGGCTTAATGCCAAACAGAAGGAAGTCTCAATTTTAAATACTCTTGAGGAAATCCTTGTTGCTGTGCAAATAAGAGAGAGATCTTTAAAAACCAAGAAGCCAACTGGGTTTGATCCTGACAAATACTACACAAAGATCTATGATTTTGGCCCATCTCTCTTTATGAGTAGTTGAGTGAATGTTGTGAAATACTTTGAAAATATGTAGACAAAGTAACAAAGTTAATTAACAACATCATGGGCTCCACTTTGACTTTTTGACAGAAGAGATCCTAGGACAAGGCTAAAGGAACGTACTTAGACAAGGGAGGAACAGAATGAATGATAGGCTCTGTTGTGTCCCCAGAGAAAGTGGTCCATTGAGAGGAGGGCAAGTGGATGGTGAATTGCTGTGGCATTCAGTGTGATGCAGGAAGAGGCTTTGGGTTGAGACATACCTGGGTTCAAATCTAAACCACTTTATTTACCAGCTGTGTGGCTTTAAGAGTCACTGAACTTTTCTAAAACTCAATGTAATTATGTATAAAAGAGATAAGAATTATGTCATAAGTGTATAAAATATTATTTCTAGAAAATACTATATCAACTAAATGTCAATGTCCTTCTATTCCTAAAGAGGGAAAAAAAATTTGCTTAGAAATAAATTTCAGTGTAATTTATTAAGATATAGTAGATATAAAAGTGCAATTAAATGTAGATTAAACACCATGGGGTAGACAAAACTAATTACTCAGAAGAAGAATTTACATGAACATATGTGTATGTATTATACCTAAACCTGTATTAATAAATATACCTGTATATTTATAATTAGTGGCTTTTTATTATAGGCTGTCTGGTCAAATTTGCATTTCACGAAACCCTTATCTTACAAATATTCCAATAACAGCTTTATTTTTGTACACAAGCACACACAAAATTTAACTAGATATTGTTTAAAGTCAATAAGCAGAAAACATAATTGGAAGCCTATATGTACTGGGGAAAAAAAGACCAAATTAGAGGTTTAGAATTTAGACAATTCAATACTATGCTATTTCAGAATTATTAACTTTCAAAAAACATTACAACTCTTGCTATTTAATTATGAGGTGCAATCCTTGTCGAGACTTTTTGGGGTATGATGTTGCTTGGTAAAATGCTAAATGCTAACCTAAGGTACTCTTTGAAATAGGCATTATGCAGAATGCTTTGTGTGGAAGATCTCACTTACTACTCACAGTACATCTGTAGAATAGAAATTGTTATGCTCATTTTACTGAAGAAACTTAGGCTTCACAAGATTAAGTGACATTACCAAAGCCACACATGTAGTTAACAGCAGACGTTGGACTAAAACCCAGGTCTGACTTTTCAACCCACGCTTGTTCCTCTTTGCTCCTCTGTTTCTTAGAATATGAATGGCATGTCAAAATTCGAATGCAGAAATTACTCTTTTGGTTTCCTTATTTAGTAATATAGTTTGTATATGCAGAATATGATGATGCTTGGTGGGAGATTCTTTAAACATATGGTAAAATGTATTACTGCTTGTGTTGTCTACAAAGACAAGAGTAACCTGAGCTCAAAGAAGGCTGCCCAGGTAGAGGCCTCATCTGATTAATTCAAAAATTGTATTCCAGTGATTCCATTTGGAATTCATTTGGTATCTCGGCCCCTGAAAAAGTTTCATTGGGCTTTTTGTTGTTACTGTTGTTCTAGTGTCTACATAGAGCCAAGGTAAACAATTCAGAAAAATAAAATAAAATAAAATAGAGCCTTTTTCTCACCACCAATTGAAAAGATTTTCTAATTGCTTTAGCTCTTTTGTTATTGTGTAGACACACCCTAAAATACCATGAAAACTTTAACTAGATACTTGCCGAATCATAGGAGGAGATTCATGTACCTCCAAACATTGGGGTTTCTGATGACCCAGCTCTCAAAGGTCCCAAAAAAGAATCCAAAGACCTTATCTGCACCAAAGCTGTCCAACAGAACTTTCTGCAGTGATGGTCATGTTCTACGTGTGCGCTATCTAATAGAGTAAGCACTAGCACATGTGGCTGTTGAACACTTGAAATATGACTAATCAACTGAAAAAATACATTTGTTATTTTACTTAGTTTTTAATTACATAAACTTTATTTATAGTGCATTTAAATACACATTTGTGGCTGTGCCTACTGTGTTGGACAGTGTAGCTCTAGAAATTGACAAGGATTTTATTCTAGGACACTCAATTTGAGTCCACATTGGATATAGCTTACAAAGTTTTCGCAATGATACTGTTCTAGGACAAAGTCAACTCAAAAATATAAAGCATTTGAGATGACACAAACATACAACATATAGTCATTTAAAATGATCTCAAAAGGAGCTGCTAATAAGGAAAAAGTAACATCATAGACAGCAATGACATTTGGAAAACCAGTCCCCAGCAATGCAAAAATGCATGTATATAGGAAAAGAACAATAGTGAAAAATCAATTAATAAAAACAGACATGACTATGCTACACTAGGTAACATCATAATATTCTAATACCAAATATAGCTAAAATTATTTCCCATATCTAAACTTTGGTAACCAAGATGAATTACATTATTTGCTGAATTTAAGCTGACTGCTTAAAAACAAAGAAAAACAGCCCATGCACTTGAAAAAGGGAATTTGTCTAATGGGCAAATTCTGTAGAATATTTTCTGAGGGAGGGTGTCTGAGAGGAAGTAGAGTTTATACTATGAGCTACAAAGTAAATAGTGGAACAGAAATGTCCTCTTATTCATTGTTGCTCTAAACACTTAGTCTCAGTGTATTTCAATCTTCAGTGTTTTCATTTTTAACAGCTCTGCTCCATCATTGCAGTTTGCCATCTGGTGCATGCATGCTTCTACTCATCCAACTCCACACTGCAACTACATGTCTACATAAAAATGAATTTGCTTGCTGACTTAATATGGGCAGGCATTTAAACTACCATATTTTTTTCCTCAAGAAATGTAATTATCCTTTTAGTTTGCTTCCTTAGCTAACAGTCCATTGTATGAAAGAAAAACTCCATTATATGTAGAATAAACAAAAAGTAAATCTCAAAATTTTAATGTATCTGTACACTGCTGGCATATTAGATATCCAGAGTTGGGCCAATGCTTTCTGGTCCCTGCACTTAGATTGAAAAATAGCAAGCTCAGAGGGCATAAGGCTGTAGCTCAGCTACTTACAGAATTTTATTTATGCAAATAAGACTTCCATGGCTAGAAGTTTCAAAGAACCTGGCCTCATTTGGATAGCTTTCTATCTGGCCAAGATGATGCTTTCTCACATTCCTGTCTAAGAAGAAGGGCCCCCCAAACTGTTTCTCCCACCTGCATCCTGAATTTGGCATGTTTCCCTGCACTTTCTACAGTTCACTTGGTAGATGTATGTTCATGGCCAATTTGTAGATGCCAGATAAACAAGATGCCATGGTTGTGCTTGGGCTATGGCTTATGGATGGCCACAACAATCCTTTTCAAGTTGGATAGATAATATTAACTAAGAGGCAGCATGGCTTTATTGGGATGGGTGGATAAGAACTGCAGCCTTCTTCACCTGGACTGCTATCAACTAGAAGATGCTCTGTAAATTGTCTTTGGCTCTCATGCTTTCTTTGGTAACAGATCACAGTGCACAGTGAAGAGAGGCCTGGCCCTAAGCTACCTTTGTCTTAAGCTACCATCCATTTTCTAAGCTAATGCCCTGCAAGCAGTGCATAGAAATACTTCAAGGACCTTAGCTAGATATAGAGAGTTTACTCTGGCAGGTCAGCAGCAACTAGAGATGGTAGGTGGGTGGACAGCGAGGGACACACCCTTTTCTTGAATGTGGAGATGTATGACTGATGAACTCACTCTGGGAGAGAGACTGGGTGTATACTACATAAAAGACTGGTTGAAGTCAATTGACATGTTGTACGATGAAGCACATGTTAGAAGAATAACAATTTGCAACTAAAATATAACATAAGGTATTTAAAATATGGAATTGTATTCTGATGGTGTTCTTCTTGCCCTACCATTTTTGCATCTACTATAAGGAAAATACATAACTAACAATTTGTGCTGTTATCAACCAAATAAATTTATTACATAAAATAAAACTGTCAATATAAGGAGGTACGTGATTAAAAAACAACAACAACAATGCAGACTGCTGGAAAATGGATGTGGGCACCAAAACTCTACAGAAATAATGGTGCCTAGAAAATTCTAGAACACACTTCTGTGCTGTGTTAATTTGTTATGGTTCTTGTTTTGTTTTGCTTCTTCATTTGTTTGGATCCCTAACATTCTCAACATTATGTTACTTGTTTCATCCTTTTGGACTAACCACACAGGCTGCAAAGTATATCTGGACTAGGCTGAGAAAAAAGGGCTGGCAACAGGAAGAAAATAATGCTCTGAGCAGATAGATAAATTATGTCTGGGCTGGTTCCCACAGCTGTTCTAACTCAATCAAGTAAAACCCAACTCCCTTAACTCAAGAGGCACCAGTACTCCCATGTTCAGAGGTACCTGAATTGAGGTGACCTGGTCTACCAAAGGCTATTGAACCCACCAAAAGAGTGGGCATAATGTGTATGGTCTCTATCGCAGCCTTTTCCCAAAAGGAAAATAATAATAAGTAATATTGTCTGCACATTTATTTTATACATACCTATATATTTACTTTTCCTGTAGACTGTATACCACCAGTAAGAAAGAGTGTACAAAAGTCTGTTACTTGGTACACTATCCCACCAACAGTATAGCTTTTGACTGCTTTCCAAAAGGTAAGAAAACAATCTAATTCTTATTTATTTATATGTTCTTGTCTCCAATGAGAATTAGAAATGTCTCAGTGGAAACTGCATGATTACCTGAAAGTATGTCTATAGGAAGAAATGAATTTTGAAAGATGATCTGTTTTATAAGCTTAGTGCCAGCAGCTGCTACTGGTAATATGCTTGCTTAATTTTCTAAAGGACGTGTTTATGAGTATGTACATATTTGTTTTTCCTGAACAACTAGGCAGTAATTTCAGAGAACTGGTGCTAGTCATTCTGACACATTCTCTACTTTAAAACTACCATGGTGAGAAGCTATTTCTCAATGTATGATTTTCTACTCTGGGTTTAGAAGGCAATGTGGAAAACCTACAAGGAGAGAAGGGGGATGCTTAATAAATGCAATCTTAGTAAAATGTTTGTTCTGGTTTATTTTTACTAAATACATTCGAAGAAGTATATATATTCCCAGAAAAGCATCCATGGAAATAGCAGCAAATGGCCTTACCATCATTAACCCAAAATTGTCTTGGTTCCTTCTCTGCAGAAAATAAATAGGTTTACTGTTCTGGATTGATGATATGTTGATGACGATTTGTGGCTCATAGTTCTGCCTTTGACAAACACTGAAGCAACTTTAGTCATCACACAAAGGTAGAGAAAGGGTCAGACCACAAGGGTCTAAAGGTTAGTTTCAATATTGGTCACACTCAAGAAATACCTATAAATACCAAGGGTGTTCAAATAAATAAATTAGAGAAAATTATGTTGTATTGTGTGATGTGTGAACCAGCCACATGAGTGGGCTAGCCTAAGAATAATAATGGATTCACCACAGATGCTTCTATATTGCTTTAGGCTCTCACTCAAGAATATATACTCTGAAAGAATATTATCCTCACCCTGTTTCAGCCTAAGCAATATTACAAGACAGTGGAAAATAACATTTGCTATGGCAAGCATTCTCATCCACATGGAACAGGGCATTCTAAACAATGTAAAATATATAGTAGAGAACATGGAGTAAGTTATTAGAGTCATGTGGTAGCTTTGAATAAAAAATTCTTTTTTGATTTTCTCTCAACCTCCTATTGCACTTACAAAATATCGAGCCCTGTCTCTAGAAAGATTCCAAAAGAGTAAGCAGTGAGGTCATGCCGCAGGAGGGGGAAAAATATTGCTTAATAATGTAGACTAGTCTTTCTCTTTCCTACATTGATAACATGACACTTTTATCAGATCACCATTCTGTTTCTTCTCATCTCTGTTTGTGTAATAGTATTCTAAATACAAATAATATCTTGCTCTCTCTCTCTTTTATCCATTTAGCATGGTAAGACAGGATAAGTGTAATTCCAAAGAGTAATTACATTTTCTGTTGACTTTAGATGGATGCCAGTAACTCGGCCTTTAATTTAGGGTATATTGTTCAGATAGGTATTTCCTTTTTCCTTATCAACATGATCTGTCCTAGTTTTTAAATAGGGCATTCTTTTCTCCTAGTTAATATGTAACTGTACTCCAGTGAGATTTCAAGTTTTTTGCAGTACAAGTGCTTGTCAAAACACTGTAGCTCATCACTTTAATAGTCTTTTTTACATGAGACTGACTGAGACTAAATAAGAAGGGATTTTCCCTGGGTAAAAATGATAGATTTAATCTCAATCCATTAAAAATTCTCTTTTGTTCTTTTCTAAGTTGATCCCTTTTGGTTTAAAGGGAGTCAGATGAAAATATTTTAAGTCAACCTTTTAGTTAAAAAATACTTTCAGGATATGCAGGTTAGAAGTAAATTCAAACTGTTAGCTAGAATTGTCTTACTTCAGAGATTTTGATGAGAGAAAGCAAGTCACATCAAGAGAGAGGAATAATTGCTTAATAATGTGGACTGGTCTGTTTCCTATGCTGATATCGTAGGGCTTCTATTAGTTTATTATTCTATTTCTTCTCATCTTTGTTTTGAAATGGTATTCCAAATACAAATAATAGTTGTATTTGGTCTCCTTTTCTGACCAATTTAAATATGGCTTTAGAAAGTAATGATAAATATTTTGTGGAACTATTTCAAAATAATTTGGAATAGAAGTTGGTTTAAATTACATGAATTCAAAGAGCAGATGATTTACTTGTTCAGGTCAATATTAGACTAGTAAACTTGTGAGACCAATGAAAGAAGTCTCTTAATGCTATGTGTTCAAATCCATTTCTAAGTGATTGCTTTCAGGGAGACAAAACAGTAAAAAGATAACCATAGATTCAGGAGTAAACTTTCATACTACTGCACTATTAAAACTCAGTGTCGGGTACCATGTCCCAACAAAGTCACGCTATATACAGGAATTCAAACATTTGCTTATAGGGATTTGAAGGAAGTAGGTTCAAATTCAGATGGAACATAACTTAAGCCTGGTTTGAAAATGCATTCCATAACATGCCTCTGTTTAAAAGCACTCTCATGTGACAAAGACCTCATTCACACAATCATAGAGCTCCCTGGACACTGAACCTCTAAAGGGAAAAGGTCTCCCCTGGAGCAGGAGCATCAGGGTTTTCTTGGGAGCTTAAGAGGTGAGCTTGGGGCTGGGCCAGGCCCCAGCAGCACTGCTACTTGGGAGGAACCACTTCACCTTTGTATTAGTTATTAGATGTCATCAGCAGAATCAATACTTTCTGCATCCTTTACATGAATATCTATAAATTTTTAAACTCTGCAATGTGTTATCAACCTAATGACATTATGTCGAAATGCAATTACGTACAAAATAAAAAGCACCATGCACCTGGTATCATCACCATCACCAGGTCAGGAAAGAAGCTTTGTTAAGACGTAAATTTTTACATTCTAGGATGGTATTTTGATTAAAAACCTTTGAGAGTATAATTAAGCCTTGTGAGAATACCAAGTACCTGAATTATATTATTGACATCCATTATTGAATGGTATTACACAAATTAATAATCTTTGGTTTCTTATAATGAATGGGATGATTTGGCAATTCTACGCATTTGGAAACTGCAGTGCAAGTTTTAGTATCATGTTGGGACTCTCCCTCTTTGACATTCAATGTGATATCTCTGCTGTAACGGGAGACCACCTCCACTTAAACTTCACTTTGGGACACTATAAGTATAGCAAAGAATACATGTTATCTGACCTTTGACACTGAATCACCTTGGGAATAAATGCTGCTATAAAATTTTTGGCATATTTCTCTCTGCCTAAGAGGTTCCTGAGACACCATCATTTCCTCGCCAAGGTTTGATATCTCAGCATATCTTCAAAATTCAATTGATATCTGCTGTCTTGGTTCTGCAACTTGAGTTCAACTTAACTGGATGGATGAATGTTTACATGGATACTACTTCTCTCGTTCCTTGCATAAAAGAAATGTACACATCATACCTCAAAGTCACTAAAACTATGTCAAGTTTTACATTATATGCATTGCACTGCCCTATATGGTCAAGACTGTTTACTGCGTGAGTGTCCTTAAATTGGGTCAATCAAAGAAATATTTGCCAAACACCTCTCCTCTGGGCCATCCTTGAACTGACTAGGAGTCGGGGACAGGAGGGGACAATGCGTTCAGGGAGCTTAGATCTGATGGAAGACTCGAAGGTAAGTAATAGACTCAAAGGTAACAGGGGCTCCTCCTCAAGGTAGGTACCAAGTACCATCAAGCTACAGGTGGAGAGCATCATCCAGTACGCTTTGCTTGAGCTGCTCTTAAAAAATAAAGGCAGCCATATATAGAATGGCACACAAGGTAGGGGAAAGTATACACAAAGAAGCTGAAGTACAAGAGAGTATGACACGTTCTGGTACTAGGAAACAGTTATGTGAGGCCATTGAGTTTTGAGGCAGATAGCTTTAGGGAATGAAATGCAGAAAACAACTGAGCATAGAAAGACTGAGTCTTCTTTGTCTTTGTGCCTTTAAGTACAAGAGCTAGTAAGCACTAGGCTGTGAGAAAATGTGCTTGGAATGAATGCAGTACAATACCTCCCAAACCAAAGGCTCCTATTACCTAGAACTCGGTAGGTGCACAGTAAACATTTATAAGAAAATATTTACTAGCAATAATAAAATATCAACTCTACAACCTGAGCAGGTGGAATTATATTCTTCCAAATAAAGCCTAGAAGGACACAAAGACAACCCTAAAAAGACAGTATTTAAACTGATGTCACAAGTTTCAAAAACATGATGTAGTTGTAATGTACAGCTCCTACAATGGGTGTCAGAGCTACATCTGGGCTTCTGCAATTAATTTGTTTTGTTGTGCTAAACCTATTTATAAACCAAGAAAGTTTTATGCTTATTTTATTTCATAGACCACAGATATCTATACCATTTTTCTTTCAAAGTGAACATGAACTTGAAAGATTCCATTGGACATGGATCCTCAGGACTTGCTTCAAATAATTATGGATTTTAATCAGGTAGACACAAAAACATAAGCAATCCAATTGGTGGTTTTCTGACTATTAAGTGCATTTCCTTAAAGACTGTCATATAGGATAGATTTGTCTTTTATCAAATGTCATTTGCATTGAAAAAAAACTGTGTATCCTAAACCAAGATCAGTTAATCTCCGAATTCTTTCTTTCCCCCAATTATTGTGAATGAGCATCTTCCCAATATTCAAGAGATGGTGACCCTTGTGACTCTCGTTTCCATCTACTAAAGATGTATCTCAACTTTGCAGATTTTTTTTTGGCTGTACAATGGAACTTGGATACACTTTAAATTAACTTTCTCTAGGAATCAAAGGTAATCATTATTTCTCTCTATGATCTACATGACTATTCTCATTCTTTTCAAGTTGAAGATTAGTTTTCAACTCCCTTTATATCTCTGCCCTCTTTCATAGTAACCTCTGAGGACTCAGCTTGCACAAAGAGGATTGAAAAAACATTTCCAAAGCTTGTTCTTCCTGAGCTGACCCAACACTTAGAAAAATATGACATGGATCAGCAACTCCATTTTCTGTAAGTGTTGGTGCAAGTATTGGTTATAGCCTTGCATGTGCTATCCTTTTCTCTGGTCAAGAATAGGAAAAACTGAAGTGGGAGTCCCACTCTGGCTCTGTTACATGGGATAGCATAAGCTTCATCATGCAATAGATCTCTGATTGTGGATAAGTCACGCTATCCAATCCTCAGTTTCCTCTTTCATAAGATGGAAATAAGCTAATCTTGATGCGGTATCATAGAGGTAACATGAGATTCTATATAGGAAAACCCTCTTTTGTAAGGGCTGGCTGCAGATATGACAGGGTACATAAAATAACATTGTTGGTCTCTGCTCATCTGTGTTTTAATTGGCTTTCCTTTCTCCTTTTGTTTTGGTTACATTTTTTGTCTATCATAAACTCTCAGATTTGGAAGCTATGATATATAGATTGCCAATAAAGTCAGGCAACCTTATCTCTAGGTACAACAATCTCTATTTTCAAGATAGTTTACTGGAGCCTTTTGATGCATCATTAGTAGTCGTTTGGCTTGGTGAAATTGACAGAGAAGGCTATCAGTCACTCAGCAGGGGTGCTATGGGACAGAGAGGCTCATACCGTCTGATATATGAAACACTACATGTGATTAACTTCGACAGGTAGCTCCTGGCTGTCTGGCAAGCTGAAAAGCATTTTAAGTTCAAATAATCGTTCTGGGGTATGTCTTGAGTGATAGAATAATGACTGAGGGGAACAGATTCCCTTAATCTTAGCTCGTGAAAACACATTCGGTTTCCTTTAGAGGCTAAGATCCTACAAAAAAATCAATAAACAAAACTTCTCAAAGATCTTCCTTGGTACATTGAAGTTTGGTTTTTATTGCACTTATATTAAATATGGGACTGCCCTGGAGGGCCAGACTCATTTATCTCAGTCTTCTAAGGGCCTATCATGGTCATTTACAGCAATTTAATAATAATATTAATTATGTTAAGTTCATCGTATTTTCACTATTGCTGCAAAGTTTAGAATGTACCCAACTATCCATTAAGGCAGGTCTTATTGACAGGTAGAAAAATTGCCTAGAGCAGTGAATTAAGCTCCTGGTAACACACACCAGTGAGTGGCAAAGTAGACACCTGTACGCAGGTCTTGTGGCCTGAGGCCTTTCTAATGATTTTTCTGAAATGGAATAGAATAGGGTAAAATGTCCCAGTCTACATCATCTATCTCATCATCATTTCTTGCTCTCATAAGTTGATTCTAGAGGCCCTCAATTTGCTAAAGATTAGTTAGGTCCTCCAGGGTTTCAAGGAGGGAAACATAATCTGACTTCAGGGTCATTGCAAAGTGAGATGCATCTTCCTTTTATTTTTTCTTTTTTTTTTTTTTTTTTGTATAGTATTGCAAAGACCACTAGATATAATTTCACTTCCCCTTGGATTTTTTTGGTAGTCTAAAAAATTAAACACTGTAGTTCCTGTTATTATACAAAAAACATCGTCTCCTAGAGCTGGAAGTGTTTAGTTCTCAGAATTCATTGACATCTATTGATGATCATATTTCACATCTACTGGTCATCCCGAATGAAGTTCAGCCATTCGGAGTTCAAACCATGAGTCTTCATATACAGATGGTTATAAGCAGACTTGCCTCTGCTTCAGGTAATCAAGTTTGGTGTGGAAACATGAGCAAAGGTAATTAAACTCAGAAGATTTGCTGGCATTAAAAAATGGCAATTCCCTGGAACAAAAATGAGAAAAGATAACTCCCCACACCCCTTCATCACCTACTTCTCTCTCTGCTTTTGCCATAGGAAAGCTCTGTAAAGAAACTGACCACAAGGGTCATTATCACTCTGAGCTGAAAATTTGATTAAGCTGGTATCCTAGGGTTAGCATGAAAAATGCTATATTTTTGTTCTTGGAACTTAATTCCTTTTTCCCTTGTTTTTGTCATGTTTGCAAATTTCATTTGCATTTAATTTCCCATGGTTTGCCAAAGTCCAGACTGAGACTTGAGCTGTTGTTTTTATTCAGGTGTAAAGTGCAACTGGAACTAACCACCTGAGCTGCCATCTAGTCGGGCGACTGTCTGAGGCAAGTGTCTATCCTTCTAAGTGTCCTGAGGAAGCTTTGCTACCCAGCCGACCAATGAACTTAATGAATGAAAGAGACTTTATCCTATTTGCATGAGTTTAGTCATGGGCAGTTCTCATGCCAGTAACATCCTCTCAATATTCCATCATAGTTAAGGAAATTGCACTAAAGATCTCTTGAGGTCACGGTGCAGTAGAATCTTGTCTAGGAGCTTTATTTAAGGAAAAGATCAATGATACCAAATGATGAAGAGATCCCTACTGTAATCTATTGTGATCTACTGTGATACAATACTGAAAAGCCAGTCTCTTCCTAGGTACTGGATTCTCAGTCTTTTCTGGGTCAAGTCAGCAGGAAGAGTAACATTCAGGTGGGGCAGTGGGGTGGGGGAGGTTCTAACCCATTCCCATTTATAGGAAAAGATCAAATAAGGGCTCAGCAGGTGAAACTTTATCATTAATGCCAAACAAGAAAATGCTGACTTTTTAGAAAAGATCATCTCTCTCTGTCTCAATTTCCTTATCTGCAAAATATAACCTCATGGTAGTAATGAGAAATAAATAAAGGTAAAGGGCTTAGATCAGAACTTGGCACAATAGCTATTCAAATGTTAACCATCAATGTTGTGATGGTGTCACCTAAAATTAACTGGATTTTCTGTTTCTATTTCCTCTAGGAAATGATTTTGGAGATTCCCATCTGATACTCTTCTATTTGATCTCTTGTACCATTGTCTTCCTGTATCATACATAATAAAGTTTAAGAATGTCAAGCAATCCATCTGCATCTAATTTTTGTTTGGAACAACCTGCAGGATTTTCTAACACATCTTGAAATATCAACACATCTCCTGTCTTTTCTTCAACCTACTTAGTATTGATCATTTTTGGAGCAACGGTGCCTTAAAGCCAAAATTTCGCTGTATTGTCAAATGAGCTATCTGGGAAATCACATTTAAACACACTTAGTCTTCATTTAATTTCATAACACAACACAAATTTCCTGACTCTAGGCAGAAATACATTCAACATTTTCACCATCATGGTGATGTTTAAAAATTAGTACCTGTTAGCACTCAGATATTTGAGGAAAAGCCAATGACCAATTTTAAAAATCCTACGTATGGCAGATATTTGCCAAAAGCAAACCTTCTAAAGTACATTTCAGTTTATATGTCAGTCTAATTTAAATTATTTGTTCCCCCAACCTGGTGGGCATCAAAAGGTCACCTGTATTTAACAAGCTTCCCCAGTGAAACTGATGCACATCCAGGCTTGGGAAACTTTTTTATTTTTTAAATTGCCCTTGATAAGAAATGTGAAATATGGCATTGGTGTGATGGTGATCACTTACAGAGCAAAGTGTTTTCCAAGGTGTTAAAATGATTGATTTTTGAAAAGTTATTTTGGTTTATTGCACAAGTGGCATCTACCACATCCCCAAGAAGTCACCCCTCACTGTAGGCTAGCACTATGAAAGCTATATCAAGGTCCTCTCTCAAGAGATTCTCTGGACTGGTGTTGTAGATTAAATAAAGCTGAAGCTAATTGTTGAGCTCTGTTACTGGAGCAGAAAAACATAGCATCACCTTTGTTTAAAGCTGAATTTCTATGACAACCCTCAATAAGAAGCTGGCTCAATATTCTTTTTTTTCTGGACTCAGTCGGTCACAAGGTCTGGCCTTT